GGAATGTTTGTTGGTTTTTATAGGTTTTTTTTTCTTGTAATAGTGAATTTAGATCGTAAGTGAAGAACCTGCATCAGCCCCTGCTTAAAAGCAGGGTACTTCTAGGAAGAGAAACCCAGTTGGAAACCTTTATGTTGTACATTGAAAAATAAAATTAGTGTGCGTTGATATTGGTGACATTTCCACTGATTATGTTCTTTACACCTTGGCCAAGTTTTGTTGCTGGCCAGTATAAAAAACCTGCAGAGATGTGCTTTAATCAGCACTTGGGTTTTTTTGGTTTCGTGTTTATTTTTAACAAGTCCTCTAATGTGATGCCTTTTTCTTTGAGTGCCACAGATGCTAGTTAATATCTGACTGTCCTGCAGTAAGAAGCCATTTCTGTCATTCTTCTTCTAGACATTTTAATGGACAAAATTTTAATTTTATGAAATCCTGTAGCTGGTTGAGAAATTTAAAGTTTGTTATTGTTACTTCCGAATGTTGGTGGAATGTTGAACTTCTTTCTTGATTAAAAGCTTAATCAGGTTTATATTTGTTAGCTGTCCAAATCTGGAAAAGTCATGGTTTCTAAATTTTCTTCTGTGTAATTGCTCGAAGGAAACAAGAGCAGTTGTTTTAATGGGTACCTGGAGGAAAGTAACAAAAATCTTGAGATTGTTTAATAATGCTCACAGTTAGAGACCTATGAACGTATTTTTAGTTGATTGCATACCGGTTTTAATTCACTCTGTGCATGTCGTTCTCATTTCAGGGTTAGTCAGCAATATAAAACCAACTTTATGACTGCTGATAACTTATCAATTTGCTTCTGGCCTACTTTGATGAGACCTGATTTTGAGAACAGAGAGTTTCTGTCTACCACCAAAATCCACCAGTCGGTTATAGAGACCTTCATTCAACAGTGTCAGTTTTTCTTTTACAACGGAGAGATCGTAGAAGCACCCAACCCAGTGGCCTGTCAGCCACCGCCTTCCAATGCAGTGCAGATGGTGGAGCCCATGGTACCTCTTCAGTTACCGCCACCGCTGCAGCCTCAGCTGATCCAGTCACAGTTACCAGCAGACCCTCTCGGTATTATCTAGGTAGAAGATGATTGCAGGCAGCCTGGCACTGGACAGTAAGGACAAGCTATAGACATGCATGTTTCAGGATACAGTAATGTACTTCATATTTATGAAAAATAATTCCCATCCAGCTGATTGGACATCTTTTTGTTATATCCCGTACTGTGTTCCTCATTTGTACACACTGCAGATAAAAACTATGTGATAAGCATGACTGGAGAGGTTTAATTTTTAAAAGCAAAAATAGCTATAAAGTACAAAGCTGCTGCTGCATGATACCTTATTGCAATCACTATATCATTCCTGTGACGGTTTGTCACAATATATTGTGAATAAAATTTTTCTATAGAAATTTAATGATTTAAAAAATTACATTTATGAAACATTCGATGCTTACAGCCTGCTTTATGGCTGTTTTTGTTATTTAACATGCTATTTTTGGCAATTTTATTCACATTCAGGCGTTCTGTGTAAACAACTAAAGCCCAGCTATAGTTTATTTTGTAATCTCCTGGCTACTTATGTGGCGGTATGCTTAGGATGGTATATGGAAAAATGCAAAATGCACTGTTGAGAATTTTACAATCCCTCACCATCCATCTTTTCTTGTAAGTAAACCTGTGGACAGTTTGTTAAGGGTGGGTGAACTTGCTTATGATTTCTTACAGCACAATACCAAGGACACGCTTGTTGTAAAAGTGAGTTTCAAATATTGTACAAAAATTTTGATGTTGCCTACATATTTCTTTATGTTCCATTACTGAACTACACATTTTGTAAAACTGTTAATTCTGTAAACAGCTGCATGTTTAAGAGATCATTGATGGTCTTGTAAACTTAATCTAATATATTTTAGATATTTTAATTTTTCCCACATGGGAATACATGTAGTGTTTAGAAAATAGTTCATGACATTTTCATATAAGGTTATATAACTTTTCATACATAAACATTAATTTTGTTGTAGTAAAATTCTCTAAACCAAACAATGTTTTAATCTAGGACTTCAATTAATCTATTCTTTAAATCTATTTTTATGTGACCCTTTAAAGATATACAAAAATGCATTGCTAATACATAGCAATAAATACTTTGGGTACTGACAATTAACCTCTTTGGAGTGTGTATATATAAAATCATATAAACTTGTATTCATATTTTTTTCCTGTGGTATGTTGTACTAAAAATTCGAATGACTGATTCTTTTTTTTTTTTTGCACCATTTTTTTAAATTATCTCTTTTTTTTTCATTTATTTTCCTTTTACATTGGTACCAATTTTGCTGTAAAAGAATGCTGCTTAATTTAAATCTTTTGGTTAAATATTTTGTTAGTGGTAAAGAATTTAGAAGGTTACAAATTGTAGCAAAGGGGAGACCATAGATAAACACTACCTGTGAGACTTTTCATAGCAGCTTTTTTCTTTCATGCTCAAAATACACCTTTTTAGGTCTGCAAAGAAGAAGACAGTTTTGGCTCATTCAGCTGCTAGAATGTTTTGTGTAGTTTAAACAAAAAGCTTTATGATGGTCACTGTTGTAATCTTCACTTATAACAAGATTTGAGATCGTCTTGTATGTATTATAGTAAATAGATGATTTTGAGAATTAAGGCTTTTAAGAGTTTGATTTGCTCCATTTTCCCAAAATAAAAATTGCCTTTCCCACTTATGTCCTAGGTATTGTACTTATCTAATTATGACTTGGATTATCATTCTAGATTATTATGATACCATAAACCCGGCTGCTGTTTGAAGTACATGTATATTATAAATTATCTTGATATTGTGTTATATTCTTGCAAGTAATTATCTTTTCTAAGAAAACATAAAAAAGTCAACCCTATTCCTATTGCAGAGCACACAGGAATTAATAGTACAATAAAGTCTGTCCTGTAAATTGTAGTATTCTTAACTTGTTCTACTTTACCTGTTGTCTATATAGCTTTTTATTTATAGTTGTCAGTCTAATCTTGGCATGTTTAGCAAAGAAACTTCAAGAGTTTTATAAACTATTTCTAGGTTGCTAAAGAATTTATTTTTCTACTGTATATGGTATAGACAAAGCATCACCTGTACAGGAAACAAGTCTATTTCTAATTGAAGTAAGCTTAAAAATAAATGCCAGTCATATCCATATTTAAAGGTTCTATCTATAAAGTATCTCCAGTCTTTGTAATGTGAATTACATTTTAAGCTTTCTACAAATTCCTAGTTGTTTGCCATATTTTACTGACTTTTGAATACTAATTTTTAGAATTCCATTAACATTCCATTTCATGACAAACTTTCACGTTGAACTTGTGATCAGAAATTTTTGCAGTATCAATTGTTGTGTTTGATGTTATGGCTGAATCACTTCATGATTTTTAAAGATCTTATATTTGGCCAAATATGAAAGCGTTATTACATATACTGGATAAAACGTAAAAGAGAAATAAGAAGAAAGCATGGCATGTGGCGCTTGACTGTCACACGGAAGACTCCCTGCATACCGTTCGCATTATAGAGGTGTTCTGTGCAGGCACGTGGATGTGTGTGTATCTGGGTTATATACACACTGATATTTTCTTTGTGTTTGTGTGTTTATGGACACGAGCACGTGTGCACAGACTTGCATGCACATACAGCCACATAGCAAAGTTTTTCAAAGATACTAGGAAATTATGCCATTGTTATTAAAGATTTATAATAGAGCTTTATCTATTATTATTTTTATTAGTGCTATGAAAGGAGGAAGCATGTCATTATATAAGAATTCCTCATACTTTGGCTCATGTAGTCCCTTCTAGTTTTAATGAAAATCCAAACAATAATAACTATATTTTTAATGTGAGCATTTTTACAGTAATATCTATCTTGATAAAGATACAAATGTCTATTATTTTGGTTGAGCATCTCAGTGACACTTTATGGGGTAGTTTGTCTTTTTTATGTAATGCTGGTGTAGACATTCTGCAGTGTATTGTCTTTCAATGTTCTAGCAATTTTAAAATCCCAGACCTGAGTTACAAAAGTGCCATTTGAAGTAATGCTTAACAGGTTATTTCAAAATTCCTTACCCTCCATGATCTTGTGGAATTTTAGCATATGTAGTGTAAATAGATCGCAGATGTCAACTTAAGTGAAAAGAAACTTTTTTGTTGTTGTATGTTTTCTCCATTATTTGATTCCTGGTTGCTAGGAAATTATAGATATGTTTATTTTTCATTACTGGAGTTTAGCTTCCAATATTTATCATAAATATAGAAAAGCTGTCAATTGGAGAGAAAAAAATTGGCCTTAGCTTACCTGCTTATTTCAGTCTTTTCAGTAACTGTGATGCTGTTTGTCAACTGCAAAAATTACACGTAAAAAAAAAAGTCAAAATTTTGTCCTTTGTTATAATGTAATCTTTTGTTGCTACGTCAGCAGAATACTGCAGTGAATTAAGTATCAGTGAAGCTTATTCTGTATAAAAGATGCAATGAATAAAATACTAAGATGCTTACTGTGTATAATGTTCAGTTTAGTTGCCTACTAAATTTTTAAAGGCTAAAGCACCCTATCACAGACACAGATGAAATCTAGAAGTAAATCTTGCTGAATTCGGTGCACCAAGTGTTCAAGGCATTCTCGGAGCGGGGGGTGTGTGTGTGTCTCTGTTTTTGCATCTGGTGTCTTTTAAACTGCTGAATTTTGGAAGTGATTCTCACATTGGTGAAGCTTCATCTGTGGGTAGCGTCCTCCCCTCCGAGGGATGCGTGCCTGCACGAGGGAACAGCCCTCCAAGGTTTCAAGCGTGTAAGGTGTTCTGTTAACTGTGCGGTTCATCGGCAATTCTGTGGCTCATCCGACACCATACATTTTTCACCTGATTGAGCCGCTCGGCAAGAAAGGCTGTGATTATGGAAATCAGATTTTCAGATTTCTACCACGCTAAAGGAATGGGACTCTTAAAATTATTTTTTCCTATGGAATCTTTAAATCTGAAGTAAAAACCATGGGCTTTGAGGTCAGCTCTAAATTTTCAGAGTTGGGTGTTCCTCGTAATTCTGCTAATTATATGGGTTAAATCCAACTTTGGTAATAGTACTGCTTTTAGTTCTTGTGCATGCTATATCTGTGCTTAGTTTGTTTCTTCAGAGCATCTTGAGTAATATGACTTATGCAGAAATAATTGCAAATAACTGCAAAAACTTCCTGACAACCTTTAAATCGGAACACTGCTCACGTTTTATTATGTATCTTAACACTTTCAGATACTGGAACATTTTAATCTCAAATAGGATGCATCTTACCTATAATTTACCCAGTGTGCAAATCTCAGGTTTTTATATTGCTCTGTCAGAAAATATCTCTGCTGAATCTGAAGCATGATGCAGTATTTGGGCTCTACAGCAGACCACAGGTTTTTGATGAGTAGCTGTATTAGAGAACCAAAGTGTACCATTAGTGTTTACTTGTGTCAGATTCCTTCCTTCCACTACTTTGTAGTTTCCATGGAATCAGAAGGGATGAATTTAATCTCTCATCATGGGTAGTGAAAGCAAACACTTCCTTCCTTTTCTTATTGACAGATTCTTTCCCAAGTGTGTAGATGGCGCACGTTATGGCTGTTGCCCATATGTTTCTCATCTTCCTTCTAAGATACAATGCACGTGTGTTTAGACCTGGTATTTTTGTTGCTGAATTGAGTGTCATTGGTGCCTAGCCAACATTCTGGTTCTTTGATATCACAGAACAGGTTTTAATATCCTTGGTTATGTTTATCTGTTACTGTTTTTCATTTGGTGTGATTTAGAAAATACAGAGGATTAAATAATTTCACTGAATGCCTACAGTGCAGTAACTTTGGGGTTTCGGTCTTAGTGTGATAATAATGAAAGGCTGTTGTTGCTTTTACTTACAAGCTGTTTGAGTAAGAAATGACGGGAGGAGAATCTCATGGTGATACTTCCAGCCATGACTGCATGTCAGTGCTTCAGGGGCAGATACGCTGACGTGGAGAATGCCTCTGGCTGCTTTTGCGACTGACCAATTTAGGTAGTGTAGCCATAGCTTGTATTTTCCCCAGAATTATGGTATTGCAATCTATCTGTTCTTGCAGATTTTTCTACTTCACAGCTGAAGAAGTGAAGGGAAGGCAATGAGCCATTCACATCTTTTCCTGCAGTGCTCTGAGCTTGGCCTCTAATGAGATTTGTCAGGGACTCCTAAATTGCTCTTGCAGGGTTTTACTGCATTAAATGTGGAAAATGTATGGTATGGTAAGTTGTCAGCTGAAGTTCTTTGGTTAACTGACACTGAGCGTGAGGAAATGGTGAAGCATCTGGAAAAAACCAGGTTGCGCTATTAAATTACAGGCGGTGTGGTCTCCCCTTGAAAGTTCCCCCCTCGGTGCTTGGCAGCGCGACCTGAGTTTCTGCAGTGACGGCCCTTTCTTGGTCAGACTGACCCTGTGCAAAGGTTGGGAATGAAGAAGAGATCAAGAAACCTACCTCAAAAAAAAAAATACTCATGTACTTTGAACAGCTGCCTCTTAAAACACTTAGGTGAAATTACTATGTAGCAAAAAAAATTATGAAGAATGAAATGTCCATGGTTCATTATCGATATCTGTATGTATATAGACACATGCTTTTTTAACTTAGTAAAGAAGTAGATGTTGATGTAGTGGTTCTAACGTAGTAGCAGGTGGCCAGCCTGCTACTGCTTACAATTCAGATGTTAAGCTTTGAAAACTGAATGTAAACAGATGTATCTAATTTTGATATGTTGTCTGTGAGTTACCTAGTTCTAACATTGATTTAATTTTGTTATCCTAAGTGGTCACTCAGATAAGCCTGATTTTCTGTCCTTTATTTAACTGTATTAGAGTTGAAAATTTTCTTTATTTCTTCACAGATGACTGCTTGCTTTATTCTTCTCTTGGTATTTTTTTTTAGTTAATTAGACTTAAAGTAAAAACATTTATAATGTGATCATAATATTTGTCTCCTGTAAAACATACTGGGTCCCACATAAAGTTTATAAAAGTCTGTCAATACTCTTTTTGTCCCCTTTTGTCTGCAGTTGCCTGTGTGCACTCATCCGCTGGTTTGGGTATGCAGGATGTGGGGCAATGTGGCGCTTGTCCATGTCTGGAGATTCTGAGCACTAGGAGGTGGACATCAGGGTGATCTTTTTTCATGTCCTAATCTGCTTTTAATGAAGCAGTGCTGGAATTTGCTGCTTGGAGACAGTTTAAAAATGGTGAAGGATAAATGTTACGAGTTTTCAGTGTATCAGCGAGATGAAGGGGCTTGCCTCAACCGGCTTCATTTCTGTGCTGGAGGTTTGCATGTAGGAAGCTTTCAAGTCGTCTGCTGATAGAGTAAAGGGAGGAGGAGGTGGGGAAGCCCTTCCCTATCCCCCTCTCTCTAAGGGCAACTCTTGTTTTTGCAGTTTGGGGCACCAAGTCCTCTATGTCTGATGTGGAGTTCTAGCCCCACAGGCAGAAGGTCATAGATTAGCATGTGGTCTTCAACCAAAACTGGTACAGGTAAACAGTGGGGACACACAACAACCTTAAATTGTTCCTCAAGCATGCTGCCCTGAGAGTCTTCTGTTGGTTTTTAATATAAAATGGTTTTGAGTGATATTTCCCCCACGATCTGTAGTTCTAAGTCATCTTTACATCTCCTTATAGCTGGCCAGGTGCATTTACCAGGATACAAAGCTTCCCTGGCCTGAAATACTTCTGGGGATGTAGAAATCAAGCTCTGTTTTCCTTGGGCTTGTACATGGTGCTGTGGAGCATTATTTTGTTTTCTCTCCTTTTCAAGGAAGGTAGTTTCTAAGGAAAATGAGAGGACTGAACTGTTACCTGTCAGAGGTGTGTTTTTGTAGCGTGTTAGTGACACCGTGAAGTAAATGGCCAGCTCATTGAATGAAGACATGGAAGTAGTGTATGAAGAGGTGAATCCTGCAGGAAAAATTTGGAAGATTTGGCAGAGGAAGTGAACGGTGGGACAAGTGACCCTCTCAATCGTGGCTGTGGTTCCTCTTTGAAGGGAACAATACTTTTTTATTTTCCTCCAGAGGGGAGGTGAACTGGTGTGCACGCAATGCAGTTGTCAAAGCTGAGCTGTGACCCAGTGGG